AGATAATCTTTGTTGTAATAATACCGTGTACTGTTTGGTCAACTAACATGTGTGGATAGACTTACTAGATAATCTTTGTTGTAATAATACCGTGTACTGTTTGGTCCACTAACATTTGTGGATAGACTTACTAGATAATCTTTGTTGTGATAATACCGTGTACTGTTTGGTCCACTAACATTTGTGGATAGACCAACTAGATAATCTTTGTTGTAATAATACCGTGTACTGTTTGGTCCACTAACATTTGTGGATAGACCAACTAGATAATCTTTGTTGTAATAATACCGTGTACTGTTTGGTCCACTAACATTTGTGAATAGACCAACTAGATGATCTTTGTTGTAATAATAAGTTGGCAAACTGATTTATAAGCATAATGAAGTGATTTAGTCTTTGGGAAACATATTACGATCAGAACATTGATGTGTTCTTCAGAAGAGACAGACCAATGTTGTGTTAAAACATGTAGTGTGTTCTACCAAAAATAACTCTTATAAATTGTTTGTCAACTCATTATAATACTTTAAACTGTATATTATCTAGGTACACGACTCATTATTTATTTATTTTATTAAAAATAGGTAAGAATAATAGGTTTGAAAGAAAGTTAACAACAGAGTTGTTGTAATAAAGTACTGTGACCATAACGATGCTTGTATGAGGATACAGTACTGCTTCCCTATATTTCTTCACACTATCACATGGTAACGTGGTTTACTAGCTGTTTGCATAAATATTACATGTACACTGGCTTCTCATTTATTATCTATTTAAAACACTCATCTATATGTCTAATAATTGTTTTTTTTATTAACTTGCAACTTAACCAGGCCAAACTGATTACCAGTTAGTACTAATTTTTCAACTTTTGACTGTTAAGACTTGGGTTTAAAGGATTCAAAACCACCACAAAAAACAATTTTATTATGGTTTTCAAATGGCTTGTCACCTATTTTGAGGAGGATACATTGCTATTTTCAGTTTAAGTGTGGACTAAAATTTGGATATTTAATTGTAGACAATAAGGACAAGTATACAGTAATAGATAAGTAACACAAGATGACCTCTAGAAAGTTGCTTGGCTAAAGAGAACAATAGATGGCATCTGTATCATCAGTTTCAAAGATGCAAGAAAACAGCAGATTTTGTCTTCAAAGAATCAATAGTAGAAACCTTCTTCTTTTCATTTTTAAGTTTTATTTGAATTCTTTTTTTTGGAAACTCTCTTTGCCCTCTTTTTTTTCCTTGACTTTAAATGAATGTTCCATTGTGGGCACAGTCACACTGACTACACTTACTGCACTTGAAAAACTATTTTCACTTTGCAGTTGCAAGAAATAGGAGTCATAAGATGTGATGTTTACAGTGTTCTAAAAAAGCAGGAAATAGCATAGAAAAAAGCAGCAACTGACTTCGCGGCAGAACAAAAAAAAATATTGGTCAAAAGAAGGAAAGAATGTTAACTGACATATCGGTAAAACTAGACTTTATATTTACAGAATGGAAGCTCTAATCCAGAGTTACTTCACACCCCAGTAAAACAAGCTGCTGACACTTTATATTTACAGAATGGAAGCCCCTAAACCAGAGCTATTTTACACCCCAGTAAAACAAGCTGCTGACACTTTATATTTACAGAATGGAAGCCCCTAATCCAGAGCTACTTCACACCCCAGTAAAACAACCTGCTGACACTATATTTACAGAATGGAAGCCCTAATCCAGAGCTACTTCACACCCCAGTAAAACAAGCTGATGACACTTTATCTTTACAGAATGGAAGCCTTAATCCAGAGCTATTTTACACCCGGTAAAACAAGCTGCTGACACTTTATATTTACAGAATGGAAGCCCCTAATCCAGAGCTATTTTACACCCTAGTAAAACAAGCTGCTGACACTTTATATTTACAGAATGGAAGCCCTAATCCAGAGCTATTTTACTCCCCAGTAAAACAAGCTGCTCACACTTTATCTTTACAGCATGGAAGCCCTAATCTAGAGCTATTTTACACCCCAGTAAAACAAACTGCTAACACTTTATATTTACAGAATGGAAGCCCTAATCCAGAGCTATTTTACACCCCAGTAAAACAAGCTGCTGACACTTTATATTTACAGAATGGAAGCCTTAATCCAGAGCTACTTCACACCCCGGTAAAACAAGCTGCTGACACTTTATATTTACAGAATGGAAGCCCTAATCCAGAGCTATTTTATACCCCAGTAAAACAAGTTACTGAAACTTTAACTTTACAGAATGGAAGCCCTAATCCAGAGCAATTTTACTCCCCAGTAAAACAAGCTGCTCTCACTTTATATTTACAGAATGGAAGCCCCTAATCCAGAGCTATTTTACACCCCAGTAAAACAAGTTACTGACACTTTAACTTTACAGCATGGAAGCCCTATCCTAGAGTTATTTTACACCCCAGAGAAAGAAGTTACTGACACTTTATCTTTACAAAATGGAAGCCCTTAATCCAGAGCATTTTATACCCCAATGAAACAAGTTACTGACATTTTGTTTCACAGAGCTATGATAAAGCCCCTGTGAAAGAAGTTACCAATCTGGGCTTGGTTAAGTCACAAATATAGTCTTTTTAAATGCTAATAAGTTGAGTTTAAGTAATATAAAATTTTAGTAACTAGTCGTTAGCTTTTAATATTATGTAATTTAATAAAACATGTCACACTTATTTTCTAGGACAGGAATGATGTAATTTATAAAAGTATGATTTTGTATTTTCAGACCCCGTTGCACTTAGCCGTTATTGTTGGTAACCAACATCTTGTTGAAATCTTATTGGAAGAAGGTGCTTGTGCAAAGTCACGAGATCGTTATGGTAATACGTCCTTACACTTAGCAGTCAAGTATAATAGATTGGAGTGCTTACGTATTCTTCTGAAACACAAGCAAGTACATGAAGTTCGAAATTTAAGGAATTATGATGGTAAATACATCTTAAGTGACCATTTAAATATAGTTGAGAACATGAATCAACAGTACAAGTATACAAGATGTAGTTCATTAAAGTATTTCTCTCAGCATGTTTCTAATAAATTTAAAATGAAAACTAACAGTCCACAAAGAATAGTGTTTCTTTATATTCAGAATTATTAATATTGGGTACCCAAACAACAAAGTCCAACGACATCTTGTACATGTTTTACAGAATTCTTTCACAAAAACCTTTGGTTTATGTAACTCACCACTTTTAAACAGTATTGATCAAAAACAACTTTACATAACAAGTAAGAGCAACACTAAATTTTTTTCAATGGTTGCCAGTTTTACTAACTGTACATAGAGATATGTGATGTGAATTTCTCATGGGTATAATGTTGACTGTTAGATGTACGATGTGAATTTCTTGAGATATAATGTTGACTGTTACTTATGTAATGTGAATTTGTTGAGGTTATAATGCTATTTAATGGTGATTGCTTTTTGGTGATATTCAGTTTTTTGTTTTCAGGGTATTCTGCATTACATCTCGCTGTCACAAACAATTCTTCTGCTTCAATCAAATATTTAGTCAAGGCCCACTGTGATATTGATATGCAGGTGTGTTTCATTTTTGTAATGTTTATGTAAAGTCATAGTAAAATTAATCTCTCAATTCATATTCCACTAGTTCTTAAATCTTGAACTTTCCTTTGATTTAATTATTTTCATGTGTATATTGGAAATTTATAATTTTCTCTAGAACTAAAGTCACATTCTGGCTGTTAACACTAGTTTAAAAGTGTATTTAATTATCTGTTTCACACATAAATTATCTTAACAAAAAGTAAGAGCACAATAAAAATACTTACTTATGGTCTATTATTTCTGTAAATCTGTATTCTTAATGCAGACAATAGTATTACCATTTTTATCAGTTTTAAACTGGTCTGTTTAAAGGATGGCAAGAGTGGAAGAACACCGTTATTCCATGCTGTGATGAACAACAACAAACCAATTGTTCGGCTTTTATTGAAACTTGGGGGTTCACCGGGTGCTCCCGATTTTTCTGGTGTATCTCCACTCGAGGCAGCTGTACTGAACAACAACAAAGACATAATGGAAAGTAGCAGCTTTACCAATCATTCCAGGCAAATTTTAGTGTGTGGAAAGGAAAATTTAATAAGAAAACAAAGAAGAAAACTTGAAGAAGAATTATATAGTAGTAAATGAATGGGAGAAGCATTAATGTCAAAACATGACACATTAAAAAATAATCAGTTCTCAAAGAATGTGGTGTAAATGAAAGAGATTACCTCATGGTCTCAAAGTAAGTAAGGGAAGATCTTACTGAACAGTGTAGTCTTGAGGAAATATACTGAAACAGGGTATTCTACTAATAAGAGAGTTTAGTATAACAAAATAATACAAACTCAATGATGCATGATGTGTTGTTATACTTGCTTGGATCTACTAATCTATTACGTATGAACGTCATGCAAGTGTATAGCATACTTTAAGTGTTACTTGTCATTGCATGTTTATTTAATTGATGTTGTTAGTAAGATAGACGTTGATTCAATGCATTACTATAGTTAAGATGTCAATTCTTAAACGATGGCATACGTTATTATTAATTTACTAAATCCAATAAACTGATATGTGTTTTATAAAGTGTCATGATTACTGTAATAATATGTTATGTTTAACTAAGTAACACATCACATGAATTTTACAAATTCTTTAACCATCATTGAATAATGAAACACTTTTTTTTCACAAAAACCCTGACATTCTGTAAAAGTATTATACTATTACCCTCTACGAAGTTAGTATAAAAAAATAGTGCATCGTGTTGGAGTTGGTAGGCTTAAACCTTTAATGTATGATTGTTGGAAAGATCACCCTTTTTAAACAGATACCCTCCAAGGAAATACATCAAATTAGAAATTATGAAGTCAACTTTTGCATTAATTTCTACTAACAGGTTATTTAAACACACTAAAAATCTTGAAAACATGTAATGTATTTTGAGGCATAAGAACAACAGGCTGTAAACCAAAGAAGTTAAGCAGATGTAAAATAAATTAGCTAGATCTGTTATTGAGATGATGTTATCGGCTCTCACCTAGTTAAAACACCATGTAACCTGCACCATATGGTAGTTTATGTATTAAAATCATCACAATCATTAGGGGAAGGTGAAACTCAAGTAAAAATAAATATTTACTCAACAGATGGCAGTGAAATGGGCAAGTTGTAAATATTAAATATAAGTACGACATAATTTTATTGAAATTCAGCTAGAACATGATTCTTGTTACACAATTACGATGAAGAATCAACACTTGCATGTGAAATACAGTTTCAGTGTATCGGACAGTAGCATGTTAAACAACATTTCTGCAACTGTCGTCATTTACTGCTCACTTACAATAATAGCGAGTCACATTTGTACAACAGAACTAGTAAATAATTTAAGAGATTTTCCTTCATAAGCTTTTGTAACAAGAAATCTGATCTGGACAAATAAGAAACATGTTTTAATTTTAATAAAAACTGAGGTCAGTGTTTTAAGATGGAAAGTTCAAAGTGAATAAAACTTATCATATAACAAGTAGTACTGCCTTTAAAAGGAAGAAACTTTCAATAATCATGCCAGTAAGCAGATGTGAAACCATATTTTCTATGTACAGCATGTGTATAACTTTGAGCTCTTAAAACGAATGAACACGTGTGTATCTGAAACCAGAGGCATCTTTAAATGTAAATAACTGCCTTAAATTAATTTTTCTTGCACCAGCACCTTATGAGAATAAAATCCTCTGGTTTGTACAGCACGTGAAAGTTATCGTCATCCCCCACCAAACTGCTCTCTTCTTGAAGGCCGATAGCCAGCCCCACCCCCTGCTCCTGTGAGAGGATTATAATTTCCCCTTAACCTGCTCTCACTGCTGTTACTACTCCGTGTCCTTTCTCTGTCAGTAGGTTGAGTGAATTGTCTCTCTTGCCCTATCTGTCTACCTTGCCCCTGTTGAAGCCCCTCCCACTTTTCAATTTTATCTCTTCGTTTCTCCTCTTCTCTCTACACAGGAAATTATAGAAAAAATTCTAGTTGATGCTACAGCACTACAAAACTTTATGTCACTACACATAATAAGTTCTGGTTATAATAAGGACAAAGACATTTATTTAAAAACAAAAAGTTCAGAAACATTAAATAGGAAGTTCTGAGTTTACTTTTACAGAAGTAATAAAGTACAAAAAACTTGGAGTGAAAAACAATAAGATAAAATTATTTTTGATGTTAGGTAAACTTAAAACTAAATAAATACAGTTAAATTCTTTCTTGCTTATCATTTTTGCACACAGTAATGAGGCTACCATTCTCATGCCCAGTTACTTAAAGTAAAGTATTTATTTATTGATGTTATCAAGAATGTTTATTTAATGACGTATCTTACACTGGATACACCAACCTTCACAGAAAGCTAGAATATACACAAAGCTATATAAGATAAATACTTTATATATATATATATATATATATATATATATATAAAATAACATTCAATAGCTGTAGTCGCTGTTATAAAGTAAAAACTTTTATACACTGTAGCTGCTGTTATAACCAATAAGTTGTACACTGTAGTTGCTGTTATAACCAATAAGTTGTACACTGTAGTTGCTGTTTATAACCAATAAGTTGTGCACTTAGATCCTGAGCAGAATGATATCTTTTTCTATTTCCTTGTCAACAAAGGTCTCGTGTTCTTGATATTTCTTGCAAATGGCACTCTGCATAGTGGATGAAGTTACCGTCTCTGTGAAATTGCTACTCTTGCTCAGTCTCGGCTTGACGATGAGTAGCTTGTGTATTTCATTGGCTGTCAGGGCATGCTTCCCTTTCTTGTGGAGTCTCACTCTGTTGCTCTTGTAGCATATGTCTTGCTGCTTGTGATTGGCAATCAGGATTGTTTGACTTTTTTCTAGACATTTTACTCTGAGGTACATAATCAGCATCAGAAATGTTTATCATACACAACTCGCCTCCCAAAATAAAGAGAATAAAAACCAATTTATTTTTGCAGAATTTCATGGGTCCAACTTGTCTATTCTATAAAAAAGTTAGCCTTGTTTTACAGTAGACACGACAGTTTTTGATGGATCTTTATTCCGACACCACAATTTCAGTACACCTCTCTATAAAATACCCATAAAATTTTGTGACATCTCAGACCTGCTTCATAGGTCTACTACTACAGGGGCTGAACAGATACAAACTTAGCTTTAGATAAGTAGATATAATGTTATAAAAGTGACAGTTACCTCTCTCATCTTCTCAGCATGTCTAGCAGCAAGGATATCTTGCTGTTCTTGGAGTTGACGACGAGCTCTTTCTAAAGCTTCCTGTCTTGCCAGGACAAGGTCGGGATCTATAAACAAATATGTCACTCTGAGACACAACATAAGAAGAGCAGTTTTGAATTTACCAAATTATCTAATTTTATGGTTGTCTTAAAGTACATAAAGAGTATAATCCATATAATGTCTTCTGTGTACTGGCTAAAGTGGTTTAGCATTCTTTCTGTAGAAATTTTTATATGGAAGTTTTGGATAATCTTTTGTAATTACATCTTAAATAAGTCTGTTAAAAATAACTGACATTGTTATTTACAACAAAGGATATTGCTATCAATGTAGTTTCAGGGGAGAACTCTACATAGATTGGTTGTTTGGCAACTAGGCTATCTGTGCCAAACAACCGGTAAAAACAGTGAGATAAAAGATTTAAATAGAATTAAAAAGGCCTAAAACCTGCAAAAACTAAAAACACGGTCAAGTTGGACAGTGTCACCATGGCCAATGACACCGTCCAACATCAGGGGTAAATCTGTAGAAATTATATGTATAAAATGGTGCTGCTGTTCACGGTTGTAACGACGCCACGAGAGTAAAATGTGGGTTATTGCGACTTGAGTGTCACAAGGACTACAGATTGGTGGGTCAGTACCAGATAAAAGAAAATAATGAGTTAAAAAACTGTGACCAAAGCATAGCCTAGCCAGGACAACTTCTTCCTACTGATCCTTACGAAAACAAGACAGCCAAAGAGCAACAGAAGGTTTGTTCTAGAAAAGCTTGTTATGATGTTGCTCACCCCAAGTCGACTACCATCTGCCACAAAGCTGAGCCTTGAATACAGGACAGTAGTCCATATAGGGGTCAGGCACGTCCATTACAGCACTAGAGCAAATGGACTTAGCTGAGGTGTCGGCGAGCTTGTTCCTGCAAATACAGACTAGGCCATGTATCCAGAAAAACTGGATGGAAACAGTAGATAGAGAAAATGGGCCATGCATTATTGAATATCGGTAAGAACTAATGCTAAGCAATTCCAGGGCCAGTAAGAGCTAAGAGAGTGTGTAAATAGTACAATCGCTGTACTATATAGCTTCTACATGATCCAGGGCAAGAGAAATGGCATACAACTCAGCAGTGAACACAGAAACTGTCGAGGGGATCCTATGTGCAACCACAACAAACCATGGCAGAGCCCACAGAATCACCTGATTTTCAACCATCCGTATAAATGGAAATGAAATAATGGTTCGAAAGATGTTCAGCAAAGGGAAGACGATACTTTCAATCGGGAGTATCTACCTTCCTCAGATGACTAGAGGAAAGGTCACATTTGGGAATGGCAATAAGCCATGGTGGAATGGACTGATCATCGGGGACACCAACGTCATCCACTGCAAGATCTATTTCAGCCAGTTGTGCCTCAATATGAAGACCAAAGGTAGGAATTACAGACCATCTGTTCTGAAAGACAGCAGCCCACTGAGGAAGAAAGACACAACCTCAGGTGGAATGATGTGGTAAGGACTGAAGCTTGGTAGCATACTGTAGAGAAAGTTGCAAATGACAGAGGTGAAGAGGAGGTTTGTGGGACTCATTGTACAAACTCTGGACAGGCGATGTGCGGAAAGCCCCCATCAGAACCGAAGCCCCAGATGGTGAATGGGGTCCAGCATCTTCAAGGCAGAGGTCCTGGCAGAACCATAGACTCATAGTCCAGTTTGGATCAAATCAGGGCACAATAGATCTTGAGCATAGAACATCGATCTGCTCCTATCCACTTATTATACATTCTAGCTTATCAATATTGGTAATTTGCACTTCTAATTTGTAAGAAACTATAGACGTGGCATTGTGGGCATAATAAAATGTCATCTGAAGGAAAGTAGATGTACCATGTGATATACAAAAATGAATATTTAGCAATTTTTTGTAGTATTTACTTCTAAATGAAGAAATTAAGTAATAAATAATACTAATATTTAAATTATAAACTACAATTTGATATAACATTTATTGATATACATTTATAAAATAGTAGTTTAATAAAATTTGGAATGTAAGTCTACAAATGTAATGACATGCCTTCTGACCCCTACACAAAGTGATAGGGTTAAAGCCTATTTGAGTTAGTAGAATTTCAGAAGAATTAATCAAATCACAAAAATTTACAAAGGCACAAGTCATGCTCAAAGAAAAACCAGAAATTTAAAAACTGAAAGGCAATTTTAAGGTTTCATTACCACCCAATGTTCAAAATGAAACTAATGATGTGAAGAAGGAAATTAAAGACTAAGAAAACAGTGATGAGAAAGTTGAAGAAGAAAATACGTTCACATGCAGAGAACTTTCTGATTCTCTGGTGTGTTTAAGTGTTTTACACTCACCAAAAATAAACCTATCATTCTATAAGTATTTAAAAAATTGGAACATTTCGCCACAATTTAATTCTTCGTATTGTTAGCCGACACTAGGCAGCTGCTACATAATTGAATAGAGTTGTTTAAACATTTGTTTAACAACAAGTAAAAGCTTGGAATGGTCTATTCTTTCATTGGGGGTGTGTGTCTGTGAGCCAGACTAGTTCCCTGAATAATTCTAACTTCTGCAGTGAAGTCATCTAGTATCATTAAAAGTTTTCTTCCCATATAGTAAATATTATACTGTCTTTGTTTTTCTGGATCATAGTGAACTTATTCTCACTATATTACACGTTTTCTATCAAACTATTACAAGAAGTTTACTAGTTTCATTATGTAAAATCTAAGGACAATTATTTTTAATGACACATCAGTTCATTTAATAATAATAATAATAGCATATTAAAGTCAGTTATGCCAGTTTTTTGTAACAATGCTATACTTTTTCTTTACCTACAATATTTTAACAAAGAAATAGTTTATTTAGTAATAAACATTCCAGTTTTTCACAACAATCCTACTCTTTTCTCAACTTTACTCACTCTGATTTATTATGAAGTACCACATACTATACTGGGGCCTTTTTCTGTTTTTTTTTTATATAAAAGGCCTGTACATGGGCAACTTTCAATACAAACATGAGAATGTTATGTTTAGTGTTCTTCTGATTTGTAATAAATGTCACAAAGTAATGTTTATTTTCAGCAACATAAATTCTGTAGTTTTAGTAGTCTTGTGAACATCTATATGTAGAAATCCATGGAATGGCAGTTGTATCTTGAGTTTGTTACAGGACTGTGATATATCTTCATGAACAACAGGTTGGGATTTAAAAAGTAGCTTAATCCTAAACTGTTGAACCTGAAGATGTTATATTAAACAAAGGGTAGTTGGAAATAGGAACATTAATGTTTGTTTAGGGACTTTAAAATATATTCTAAATTAGTTGTAGTACCTGTCTCCTGGAAGGAAGTTATCCAAGTTCGTGACTAATGAAAGGTTATCTTAGGACATGAAAAGTTGCTTCCCTTATATGTAATTGTAAAAAAATGCAAAAATTCCCATAAAAACCACAAAACTGAATATTTGTATGTATCCCCTCATGGACCTAATGAAACTCCATAACAAATTTTGGTGAAGATCCA